AATACACAAGATGAAACCTAACTACAATGTACTAAACTAAAGAACAAAGGGATGTATATAAGATTAACATTACTAACATCAATTTAGCGGTGGCTGAGAACTACAGTTACAATAATAATCTCACATTAACCAACAATAAAACCTCAATGAAAAACACATAAAAACATACATTTACAAGCTAACAGTACTATGTTAGCCAAGTATCATTACAGTGTTAAGCTATTATAGTGATGTTATACACAGTTATTTCACCAGTCTGTAGAGGAAGAGAAGTCGCTTAGGTGTACTAGTTGTTAGCTTGAGATTCCGTTGTGGGTTGGCCAGGCGGGGAAGAATTGTGGTTCTGTTGCAGTCTGAGGTTTTGTTGATCAGGGGATATCATGGGTCATAGGTCCGACTGACCAATTATAGCTGAAAGGTGTGATGTCATAGAGGATCGTGGGAGTTCAATGTCTCAAAGGTTTAGGACACACAAATGAACAAATTCGTCTGTGAGGCCCTCATAGTCTCAACATTATGCACACTGCCTCTCTCCAACACGACAGACAATGGCTGCTCAGAAATCTCCAGGTTTATATGAGCAAATAAAACCTGTTCCCCTGTCCTCACTCAGATACTCACAACACCTATGAGTCATGGGCCACTAATGAAAACTCAATCAATAAGGCAGCCCACGGGTCACACAATACCAAGGGACAATCCAAGCACCATACCTGATTGCTTTGTGACTGGTAGCTGCTGTGATAGTTGAACTGTGTTCATACAGTGCTCGTTTTGCACTTTGGTAGGAATTGTGTATTTGCATAGTTGTGTGTATAGTTTTTGGTTTCTATGTGCATGTGTTCTATGTGTTTCTATGTTTTAGTACTGGTTTGTATTATTTTCTATGTGGTCTTTCAGTTTTGCAAACAAATCAATACAAAACAAACAAAAAATCTAAAGAGGAAAGAACTTAAGTAAAATACAAGAAAAGTCGAGCCTTGTATGTTAACTGGCTGTCTAGCTTTGCACAAGAGAACACTTTGTAAGGGCAGCACACATGTCAGCCTCATTTCCAATCGCAGGTAGCTTGCTTCCTCTGCCCACAAGTGGCCAAAAAATCACAAACATCCAGAGCAATCCATTGAAATTCACCAGTCACCCTGTGCTCTATGCCACCCCCACATGTTAGTGAAGGCAGCCTAACCATATATGGAGGGATTAGTGAATCAGAATAAAAAATTAAAAGTCTAAATTGAAAACTGAAAATCTAAATCAAAAATGCATTTGGTATTAAGGATTGGTCGTTTAGTATTTAGGATTGGGCATTTGGGCATTCAGGCATTTAGGATTGGAACTTTCCCAGAGGAAAACTCTTTTGCTCAGAATAGTCTTTTCTTTAACTCTTGAGAAAACACTAAGATCTCAATAGCATATCTTTTTGAGATCACTCCAATCTGAATTGTTGCTCCTAAAACTTAGGAGAAAAGGATGAGATGAAGAGAGATTGACATTTTGAGACCAAAGGTCCTTGCACACTGAGTCCAAAATTTTCGTATAAGTTTTTTCGTATCCGTCATCCTAATAAATCATTACACACAGAAACCTTGCACACTGAGTCCGATACGTTTTAATAAATCCGTTGCGAAAAAATACTCAAAACAATACAATATGGAGTCTTCAAGCAATGAGGATGACTTTGTTGTAGTCTCTCTTCTTAAAAAAAGAAAAATAAATAGGACATTTTGGGTCCATCCAATTTTGAGATTGCATAAAGAGCAAGGAGAGTTCCACCTCCTTATCAAGGAGCTGCGGGATTATCCCGATCGATTGAGAGTGTACTTTAGCATGTCAGTGGGTCAGTTTGATGCTTTGCTAGCGATACTGGAGCCACATATTAAAAAGAAGACCTCAAATTTCCGCGAACCACTTCATCCTGAACAGAGGCTGGCAGTATGTCTTAAGTAACACACACACACAGAAAATTGTGCCATCGGAAAAGTTCGCACCAGGCACTGAAACCAGCATATAATTTACAGCATACAACACTGTGCTATAATAATATTTGTATATTTATAGATATCTGAGCACAGGGGACTCATTCACCACCATCGCCAGCAGTTTTAGGTTGGGAATGAGCACTGTTGGGATGATTGTGAGGGAAACCTGTGACCAAATCTGGCTGTAGCTCAAGGACACCTATATGCCAACTCCAACAGAGGACATCTGGAAAAACACAGCAAGGAGGTTCAGTGAAAGGTGAAACTTCCCTAATTGTACTGGAGCTCTCGATGGAAAGCATGTCAAGATCGAGGCCCCTGCAAACACAGGTTCCCTCTTTTTTAATTATAAAGGCACCTTTTCCATTGTCCTCCTCGCATTAGTGGATGCCGATTACCGTTTCCTGGCCATTGATGTGGGCAGCTATGGTGGGAACAGCGACGGAGGCATTTTCACACATTCTGCGCTGGGACGGGCGCTCCACCCTGAATGTTCCACCCCCAGTAGAGCTACCGTCTGCGCCTGAATTTGGGAAGGTGAACCACGTTATTGTGGCAGACGAGGCCTTTGCCATGAAACCATATCTGCTCCGACCCTATGGTGGAAAGCACCTTGAAGAGGACAAGCGCATCTTCAACCTCCGCCTGTCAAGAGCTCGCCGCATCTCAAAAAATGCGTTCGACATTCTGACCCAAAGATTCAGGTTTAACAAAAGGCCAATGGAGGTGAACCCTGACCTGGCAGACAGCATCGTCAAGGCAACCTGCATCTTATGCAACTACCTGCGCCATGAAGTAGTGGGACAAGCCGGCCAAGATGACAGCTTTGAGTTTGAGGATGCTGGCAACACGTGTCTACAGGAGTTTCAGAGGCCAAGGGGTAACCGGGCATCTGAAGAGGCTCTCCACATTAGAGATACATTAAGAAAATATTTTGTATCACCTGCTGGCGAGGTACCATGGCAGTACAACCGTGTGCGCCATGGACTTATAGACAGTCAGTCACACTGTAGACCTCCGTCGTGCGTAATGGCTGAGCTGGCTTATTGTGTAATTCGCGCGTGCAGTGCTTGCACCTTCTTGAACACACTTATATTTTAGATATATTATACACTCTATTAAAATATAAATATTAGTGTAGGCCAATATGCCAGCTCAGCTATTACGCACGACTGAGGTGTCCGACACGCTGTTTAACATGAAAAAATTTGTAACGGCAATTAAACTCTGTTCTGCCTGCCCTTCAGGTTCAGTTGGGTTGCGGAAATTGCTGGTCTTCTCCACGCACACATTTACAATGTAGTTATTAAGTTATTATTAACAATTAGTAACATTATTACTACCACTACTTTTATTGTTATTGTTATTATTATTTATATTACAACTCTGAACCCCAAATTGTTATGCACATTATAGACTATTACGCCATGTTGTAAAGTTTATACATTTTTATATTTTGTACATAGTGTTATATACATACAATATTCATATATCATACATATAAAGAAAAACAACAAAATACCAATAAATGACTCGTTTCTGTTTATTTTCCATTCAAAAGAACTTTCTGCCCAGAAGATTAGAAACTAAATTCACAGAAAAAAGTTGTTCTGCATATAAAAAATAACATCAACAATAAGTTAAACTAGAATTTTACATTAATAACCTCTTAAGCCCTATTTACACTGGAATAATACATTGGTAATAATATAGATTGAAACTGATTATCTTAAATGGTTGTGAAAAGATTATTTATAACTATTAACATTTAAACAAGTAGCCTAGAACAACTATAAATCACAGAGAACGGTAAGTTGGATCTTGGGAAAACTGCTGATAAGAAACCCCTCCAAATGATGCAGTTCCTGCTTTTATTTTTAAATAGGACAATTTCTCTGGGGCTAGTCTCCTCATGGAGGGAGCCAAGCTGGAGAGAAAGGCTGACACCTCATCTGTTTGCAGGTCCTGCCAGGCCTGACGCTGCAGTCGCTCTGCCTCTCTCTCCTTCTCTCTCATTTCTTCCCTTGCTTCTCTCTACTGACAGTACCTCGCTAGGGTGTCCTCATTCTCTGCCTGCGTCTTTCTACGTTTCGCACCGCGGCTACCAGAAGAAGTTGCGCTGCCCTCACTCTCTGGCCACCACTACACTGTCGCTCCTTCTCTGCCTGCGTCCTCTCATTCTCTCTATTCCATTATCCTCCTCCTCCTCTCTTCTCATCCACCTGGATATTACCATCTGACCTGTTGAACGTAGGTTGAAATGAAATGATACATTGCACGCTGCACGCGTCAACTTTCTGTGGTGCATTCTGAACAAGCCAACATTACCTTCTCCTTGCCAAGGAATTTTGCAAGAACAACATTGCGTCCCTGTTTGGGACGAAGTTAACGTTAGCACTACTCAGTAGTTACAAATGGATGAATTACGTTAGCAACAAGCTATTGTTTAGCTAACTTGAGCACAATAATATACGATCTTTTGTAGGCTTCACTCTTTATTTAAGCCAGTACCTACCATCCTCTTTTCCAAGTTGTTCCGCAATCATCTACCACAACCGGTCTTTGTATTCCGCACTTTCTTTATGATAAAGTGCTTTGTGCTGCGAGACGAAATCAGCTTGTCAGTCCCGCTGCCCGGCTTTGCGTAGACACGGCGCGTCCTCCTCGGGGTCAAAGTGTCCCGCGATGCGGTTGTACAGGTAGGGCAACCGCTCGGCCCACCTGTCCCACAGGGTCTGACCGCGGCGAGTTTGTCCGCGGCGCGTCTGGCGGCTGGTTCGCGGTCGTTGAATTGCAGCAGCATCGAGTACGCGTAAAAGACCTTGAGGGCATCGTGGCCCGGAATACGGCCCGCCCGCTCTCGGCGTACCACAGGCTGGCCGCCGCCTCGCCAGGACCTGTACACGCCGGCCAAGATGAGCAGCCCGACGTAGGCGCGCAGGTCGGTCTCATCCATGCCCTTCCACCAGCCTATCGTGTCCGTATTTTCGACGACCGGCTTCCAGGTTAGTCATCTCCAAAATGAGCTTCTCGATTGTGGGCGTGAACAACAGGCGGAACGTGGAGACGGTGTCGCGGGCGAGGGACGCGGCGTACGGGGTGGGTCCCGGGGTGGTGGCTGCGGTGGCTGCCGACGGTGCTGATGCTGCCGACGGTCTTGATGCTGCGGTGCTGTAGTCGTCATTGCGTCTTCTTGCTGAGGTAATACTGCTACTTTGCTCGGGCAGCTGCGGTCATTATTTTTGTTGTTGTGTTTTTTCCAATGGTCCCCGTGACCCCCCCGAGTAGTTCCGAAGGAGGGAGTGGTCGGTTTGACCACTCGGCGCTGGGGAAGCTGCGGTCATCATGTTTGTTCAGTTTCAGCGCAAGGGCGCTACTTATTCAGCGAGTATGTTCCGAGGGGAGCGAGGGGCCGTTTTGGAGGTGGTGGCTGAGAGCCGTGGCGACTCAACATCAACTGGCCACAGGAGGAGCAGACACACAGGCTAGTGGTAAGCTTGATGAAAGGTTTTCTTAAGCACACGCGCCACCTCCACGCCGGTCTCTGCCATTCTTTCCTGATTTACATGATGAACTGAGTAAATCATGGGGCAGACCCTTCTCTACACGGCTTTCCACACCCCGATTACTGAACTACAGTAATGTGATGGGGTTAGGGACCGTGGTTATGGGAGGATGCCTCAGGTGGAGGATGCGCTTGCGAGCTATCTCTCCCCTCGACTTGCGTCCTCCCTGGAGA